ATTTCTGTCCTACTCTAAGGCTTGTCACTAAAGTGAGGGTGGGGACGAGGAAGCTGAGAAAGTGTTTGGAACTGGAGATTAAAGTTGTGCCTTGTAAACGCTCGTAATATGGTTAAGGAAAGCGTTACGGGTGCAGACTTAAAGTTCCACTTTTCTAGCTTTCCTTTATCTGATTATGCTTATTTCAGGGAGGAAGAAGTGTTGATGAATCCTTATTAAGGATTTGTCAGAGGAATAAAACCTCTTGAGTTCCGTGAGTAGTGTAAGGTAAAGAGTCTGGACCGGCATTACTTTATTCGGGAACGCGAACCTAGTTGAAGGACATCGCTTTATTCTTTTTGGACTGCAATACATAATTTAAAATGATCAGAAAGTGGTTGACTGAAGTCGTAACTGGGAGTTTATAAAAGGAATGGAGAATAGTGTCGGTAATTTGCACTTCAAGGGGCTTTACGCTTTTTCGAAGGTAATGGAGTCGCCTGAAGCGGGATGGATGCCTTCCTCTGTGCTCGGCGGTGCAACGGAGGTGAATGAAGTGGCAGGATTTGATGAGAGTGATCAACGCGTCATCCTGATGCGTCAGATGGACCTAGTGGCAGACTATCTGATGCAAGCGCAGGCCGCACACCGATCCGTGGAGGAAATTACTAATCTTGCACAAAATCTCGCCGAGTTGGAGAGTGAGCTGACTCGTATTAGCGTCGCTTCCCCACACGAGTAGTTGTGGCATCTTCCTTGCATTTCTGCTTTCCTCTTTCTCTCTTCGAGTATTCGCGATCATCGCCATTATTTTTTTCTTTGAATATCCGATTAAAGTCTTTCACACAGCCTCGGTTTCGCGGCGCTTTTATCCGTTTGACAGGCTTTCTACTAACTAAATCTTTCCATAATGAGTGGCGAGTAACGTTTGTGGATGCTTTCGGCAATGCGAGTGCTCTCTGGATTTCTGTGTGAGATGGAAGTAAGTTTCAAATATTCAACTTGTCCAATAAGGTAGGGTTTTATCCATACGCTAATTGTGAATGACTATTCGGTCTGATTCGTCATCAAAGAAAATGTTGGTAAGCGCGTACGTATGTTGTGTTCCAATCTTTTTTGGAAGCGTAACTGAGGTCGAAAGCAATTTTGGCGTGTGGCCGCAAAACTATAGAAGCAGTGGGAGAAGCACAAGTCATGTGATATAGATGGTCTACCACTGACTTCAGGTTGAAGCTGTTCTCTCAATGATCTCTATCGATGACGGTGACGTCATCTGACCAAAACGCATAATGTTTTGGAAATTGTTTAGCCGAAAGGTTCTCATAGGAAGTCCAAAGATGGCTCCCGTGTTGTAGAGTTTGAGGTGTACTGTCTGGCATTCGTAAAACTCACTTCGGCGTATGAAGCCAGCCCTCTCATTGTTAGCTTCGATCCGTGTAGGTCGTCTGAATGCTCAATTATGTGGAATAATGAAAGTCAGCTTCAATATTATGGTCGTCCACACAGACGAAAGTCGTTGTTTTTGGGAGGAGAAATTGAAGAGATAATAACAGCGCATTATGACATCCTTTCTGAAATCCTATCCGGTCGCAGTTTCCTTCATCTTGCAGAGAAGTCGGCATCCTTCACGAGAGTATATTTGCATTGTTTTCTTTCGCTAGTGGCGATACGCGTCACCTGATCAGAGATATGGCTGTAGACTCGAGTGGGGTGTTGCAAATGTCGTCGTCGTCATCCTACGGTAACAAAAGGGCTGTATTGACTTTATTGTCACAAAACATCAGCACCAACACTCGTGACCCAATTGCCATTATGCAGGCTACCTTCCCAATACTGACTCGTAACAACAGCTTCCTCCTTCCTCCTTGTATCGTCTCCTTCCCTTTTTTTGAATGCAATCACTTGGAAGATGAAGCCTGCTTAACTTTGTACCCATCCTAT